GGATGAGGAAAATATTAAATTACTATTTTGCCCTTTTAAAATTGAGTAAAATGTGGTCAAAATTAATTTTTCGGGTCAAAATGACCTTTTTAGGTCAACTAACGGTAAATTAGATAAATTCCATCCAAAAAGGGCCTCAGATATAATGTTTTAAAAGGTTTGGGGTGACGACTGCAACAAATGAAAGGTTAGGAAAATATCTACTAGGGTTGAAAAGGTTTGGGATTTCTACTGCAATTATCCCCTTTTATTTATAGAATAACATTTGTGCTACTCATATTACCATTTCAAACTCTAAAGTCATTTCCTTCTACACAATTTTCAACTATTGTTATCCCCTTTCACCGCCACCATCAAATCCTACTGCTAGCAATTATTTCGTATTTCTCCTTTCTCTACCACTACCACTACCACTACCACCCCATTCAATTCGTTCCACACTAATTTGATCCAAACAAAGTTTTCTTTTTAAATTTTAATATAATGTCTTTTCTTAAAATAATCAAATTTTTTTGCTAGATAAATACTTATTGTGTACTTCTTTAATCAATCTTTCCTTTCTCATATAATTCCCCTGTGAGCTACCTTAAAAATTTATTTTAGAATATTAATTTTTTGTAAATATTTTATTAAAAAATAAAGAAAAATTTTGAATTTACTTTTAATATTATTTTCTCAAAAAATGTGTGACTGAAAATAGAAAAGAGAAAAATGCATTGTTTGGATAATAGAGCCCAGCAGCAATGTTTATATGTTTCAATTATGACTTAATAATGAAGTTGATTCTCAAAAAATAAAAGTGAAAATTACATAATCTAAAATTCAAAAATCAGATTTAAAGAAATTTTGTTCAAAAATCATATGATAATTCATCTATTAAGATTAAAATAATATTAAAAATTAAATTAACTAACATACCCCCATCCACAACACCTCACTCCAAACCATAAATTTCTCTATCTATTCTCTACATTTTCTCCCCCTCTATCTAGCAAATATCGAAAACCATCGTTGGATACCACGGCAACGGAAGAAGAAAACTCAAAAAATTAATGTAAATCATGAGCGTAACGAAGTGCCCCTATTTGCATTTTTCTCTATTGGTAGAGCTACAAATTAGAGGTGCAACTTGTCTCCCATTTTTTCTCTGGTTACATGTGGGTAGTTGTGGGTATGGTGGTGGTGGTGATACTACGTACGACGGTCACAATTTGGTGCCAGGTGTTTGGTGATGCTGCGATTCGGTAGCAATGATAGTGCTGGAGTTTAGTATGTGGTTGTAATGTGGGTATTGTGGTGGCGTGCTTTGCAATTCTGTGGTGGTGGTTTTGCGTTGTTGTGGTGTGTAGTAGTTGTTATAGTGGTGGTTTTGCATAGTGGCAATGTTGGTGGTCGTCATGGTTGGGGATGGGAGGGGGGTGTTCGTGACCAATTATTTGGTTAATTAAAATCAATAAATTGATTAATTTCTCACTAATAAATAATATGTGACTTAAAAAATAAGATTGTGGCTTATAATTTATTAAGTAGTGACTGAGAAATTACTTGTGGCCAATTAATTTGATAAGTTATAATCGTTAAATAAATTGTGACTTATAAACTTTGTGATTTTGTGATCGATGAATAATTTTTTACTTATAAATTTTTTTAATTTGTGACTGAGGAATAATTGAGTTATGTTACGTGTACAATCATTGTTGACAACATTGATAGCGCAAGAATAACAAATCAAAAGGGAGCGAATTGATTTTTAAAAACTTTTTTGAAAAACAGATTTAAATCAATCAAGTAAAGAACATGTTGATCAATTAATACTCTTAAACAAATAAATCAATCAAATAATAAATATAAATGAAATAATGATAAGTAGAATGGTAGAAAGAATGCAAACAATATAATTGTGGAGGTTTGATTCAAAGTGATGAACTACGTCCTTTGTTACTAAGCTTTCCAGCACGAGCAAGACATTTTCACTATATTGATTGGCTTATGGTACAATCCAACTCTTTACAACACTTTTGGTAACTTCTAAACAAGAAGTACCGATCCTTGTACAATAGAACTTTACAGGATCTGAATATGGTTCA